GCCAGAAAAAGAGCATATGACAAAATTCAATATCTATTCGTGATTTTTAAAAAACTCTCAGAAAACTAGCAATAGAGAGGAAATTTGTCAACTTGATAAAGGGCAAAAAACCTACAGCCCACATTCTACCTGATGGTGAAGGACTAAATGCTTTCCCAGTAAGATTGGGAAGAAGGCAAGGATGTCTGCTCTCATCACTCTTATTCAGCATAATGCTAGAAGTTCTAGCCAATGCAATAAGACAGGAAAAGGAAATAAAAGGCACATAAATCAGAAAGAAAGGCGGGGCCTGCCTGGTGGCGCAGCGGTTAAGTTCACACGTTCTACTTCTTGGCAGCCTGGGGTTCACGGTTTGGATCCCAGGTGCAGACATGGCACCACTTGGAAAAGCCATGCTGTGGCAGGCATCCCACATATAAAGTAGAGGAAGATGGGCATAGATGTTAGCTCAGGACCAGTCTTCCTCAGCAAAAAGAGGAGGATTGGCAGTAGTTAGCTCAGGGCTAATCTTCCTCAAAAAAATAAATAAAAAAAAAATTTAAAAAATCAGAAAGAAAGAAACCTGTCTCTATTTGCAGGTGACATGGTTGTCTATGTTGAAAAACTCCAGAAATCTACAAAAATACTCCTAGAACTAATAAGTGAGTTTAGCACGGTGGTAGGGTACAAGATCAACACATAAAAATCAGTTGTAGTTCTATATACTAGGAAGGAACACGTGGGCAGCAAAATTAAAAATACAATACCACTCACAATTGCTTGAAACAAAAGAAGAGAAATACTTCAGTGTAAATCTAATAAAACACATACAAGACTTATATGTGAAAATCACAAAATACTGATTTTAAAAAATCCAAGAAGATCTAAATAAACGGAGAAACATACCATTTCATGGATTGGAAGACTCAACATAGTCAAGATGTCAATTCTCCCCAAAATACATACACATTTAATACAATTCTGATCAAATTCCCAGCAAAATTCTTTGCAGATAGAGACAAAATTATTATAATATTTATATTGAAAGGCAAAGGCACTAAAATAGCTAAAACAATTTTGAAAAAAATAAAGTGGGTGGGATCAGTCTGCCCAGTTTCAAGATTTATTATAAAGCTGTAATAATCAAGACAGCATGATATTGGTGGATAGAATGACCCATAGTCCACGGAACAGAATAGTTAACCCAGAAATAGATCCACACAAATATGCCCAATTAATTTTTGACAAAAGAGCAAAAGCAATTCAATGGAGGTAAGACAGCCTTTTCGACAAGTCATACTGGACCAATTGGACATCCATAAGCAAAAAGTACACCTTGACCTAAACCTCACCCTTTCTATAAAGACTAATTCAAAATAGATTATGGACTCAAATGTCGAACTATATAACTTGTAGAAAAAAATAGAAGAAAATCTTTGAGACTTGGAACTAGGGAAATGTTCTTAGACTTGACACCAGAAGCATGATCCATAAAAAGAAAAAATTGATAAAGTGGACTTCATCAAAATTGAAAACCTTTGCTCTGTAACGACACTGGGAAGACGGTGAGAGGACAAATCACAGACGAGGAGAAAATATTAGCAAATCACATATCCAACACAGGATTTCTGGGTAGAATAAAGAAGTTTTAAACTGCAACAGTAAAACAAAAATATCCAATTAAAAATGTGCAAAAGACAGGCAGACATTTTGCCAAAGACACTATGCAGAAACTTGTACACAAATGTCCATAGTAGCTTTATTCTTAATAACCAAAAACTAGAAATTATCCAAATGTCTTTCAATGGGTGAATGGCTAAACAAACTACAGTACATCCATACCATGGAATCCTACTCAGCAGTAAAAAGCAACTATTCATACATGCAACAATTTGGACCAATCTCAAGGAAAGTATGCTGAGCAAAGAAAGCCAATCTCAAAAGGACACATGATTCCATCACAGAATATCTGTGTAGCAACATAATTATAGAAATGGAGACAGATTAGTTGTCGTTAGGGGTCAGGGTGGCGGGGAGGGAGTGGGTGGAGTCATAAAGGGGTGGCACGAGGGAGTCCAGTGATGGTCCAGTTAAGTGCCTTGATGTGGTGGTGGTTACACAAAGCCATACATGAGATAAAATTGCATCCCAGATTGAAAATTGCATCTTCAATCCCTCAAAGTGGGACAATTGGTCACTCCAGCAGGGGCCATCCTGCAGCCCTGTGGCTCCGAGGAGGAGTTCAGTCTTCATCTGGAAGAAAATCCAGGTCCACTGGCTGCTTAGGATGAAGAGCTTGTAGGGGTCAGGGCCAACACAGGCAGGAGCCGCTGCATCACTGGGGCGAGAATGAGAGTGGTCCAATGTGGCCGACTGGCCAGAGTTCACCAAACCTTTTCGGTCCACCCCCTACCCCTCAACACCCCCAGCACATGGCTAGACTACATTACCCAGCCACCCTTGCAGGTAGGTGTGGCCACACGACTGAGTTCCGGCCAATGGGATGGGGGGGACAAGCTCTGTACCTCCCATAGGTGGTCTCGGGTGCCTTGACCCTTCTGCCCGGAGCTTTAAACCATGTACTGAAGACAGCAGAGCACAAGTTGGAAGGAACCTGAGTCCTGGCTCTCCTATGCAGGAGAAGGATTTGCTGATCAGGAAAACGGGCTATGAGTATAACGTGTTGCAGCCATTATACCCATCTTCATCTATTTGTGACAGTGTCCAGTGGTTCCTTAACCGATGCCCCTGGTGTGCACACCTCCTGGGGATGCCGTCAGCACCACCGGCTTCCATGTCCTCCCTGGGCACCTATGTTGGGGGAGGGCAACTGGTGGCAGGCTAGGATACCCAGACAGCCCCCTGGAGCTACAGAGAACCCAAGACCCTCTGAGCACCTCAGGGCAGGGTGGGATTCTGGCTCTTAGAACCCTAGAAATATGGGATTCTGAAAGGACTGGAAGGGTTCTCAGAGAACACAAAATCCCCTCTGTGCCACTGAACAAACGGGGAAACTGACCCCCGAGAGCAGGAGACACTTGAGAGGCCACAATGAATCAAAGGGTGAGCGGCTGCTCACTCATTCATTCATTTGTTCATTCCACAAATATTCATTAAGCACTCTACGTGCCAGCCTTAGGGAGAAAACAGAAGATTCCTGGCCTCATGGAACTCACAGACAAGCAAGTGACAAACATGAACAGGCCAGGCAGTGCCTGGTACCAGGGCGGGTACAGCAGGATGAGGGGATACAGAGAAGGGATGTGGTATTTTATCTGGAGTGCTCAGAGAGGGCCTCTCTGAGGAGGTAACGAGCAGAGACAGGCCCTGAGGATATCTGACCAAGACTCATCCAGGCAGAGGGAACAGCAAAAAGCCTTGCTGGGGACGCACAGCCGACAAGTTTGAGAGACAGGAGGAGGCCTGAGTAGCTGGAGCAGAGGGAGCGGGTGGGGAGAAGGAGAGAGGCCGCCGTCCGCAGAGCTGGGTGGCTGTCAGTGGCCCCAGCCTCTGCACGACTCACGAGGCATGTTGCTCCCCTCTGCTCGCCTGGGGGCCGTCCTGCTCACCTGGGGGAACCCTCAGGACTGGGGACAGTGGAGCAGGGGCTGACTTTCCAGCTTCCTAAAGCTTGATCTTCAGGGGTCACCTTATGTCTCCAAGTCCCTGAATTCCGTGTATAAGCCAGGAGACTCCTGCACCTGGAGACCTCATCATTTATTCTTTCATTCAGTCTACAAACATACTGCGCCCTGTTCCATGTGCTAGGCTCCAGAGACCCAGACATGACCTTATCTCTGGCCTCAGAGTTGACAATTTAGAAGGAGGGACAGACAGACACATCTATAGTTAGTATAGTTTATCAACGCTGTGATCAAGAGACTGTGGGAGCCCAGAGGAGGCCCTGGACCCGGCCTGAGAATCAGGGAAGGCCTCCTGGATGAGGCGCATTTCCAGGAGGCAACCCTCCAGAGCTGGGTCCTGTAGGAGTGAGTGGACAAGGCGGATGGAGTGTAGGCCAACATTCCATAGAGAGGCCACATGTGAAAGGCTCCGAAGAAGTACGACAGCCTGGAGCTGCTTGTGAAATACTGCAAGGAGTTGAGATCTGCGGGATTAAAGGGGTGAGGGTAGGGTGGTGGGGAAGACTGAGATCAGAGAAGGCAGAACAAGACAGCTTTGGAGGCCATGATGGAGGGACCATGCTGGGATACCTGGATGCCCATCCCACCTCAGTCCTAGACTTGCTGGGCTACCCGAGCTACACACCCCCAATCCCGAGGCCTCAGTGGCCCCATCTGTGAAATGGAGCCATTTGGGTGGGATGGGTCTGACACTCCACAGAGACCCCAGGATGTTGTCTGCCAGTGTTCACGGAGCGCCACAGAAGAACGGCCAGGCCAGGGCTGCCTCACTCCCCCTGACATGCCCTCCAAGGTCCTCATTGCACTGGGGGGACTCAGTAAGGATGGGGAGAAGGGGATAGAGAAGGAGATACAGCATTTACCTTCCTTTTCTTTTGGATCGAACCCACACACATAGGAAAAAGGAAGGACAATTGTTCAGCAAGAGTGTCAAGGGTCAGTTCCTCTGCGACTCGAGTAGTGGCTAAGAGGGCGGGCCCTGGACCCAGACAGACCACTGACCAGCTGCGTGGCCTTAGGCAAGTCTCTGCCTCTGAGTCCCTCTCCTCCCAGTAAAGTGGGGCTAATCAGAACAGAGCTTTGCTGGGTTGTTTTGAAGATTCTATTATGTGTAAAGTGCTCAGCACAACGCCAAGCGCATAGGTCTCCAAAATGATCGCAAGCATTACTATTACTGTTATTGTTTTTAGTGGGCAGGCGACAGGAGGCTGGAAGGTGCCGTCGGAGGGGTAGGAGGAGGGATCTAGCCCTGAAAGGGTTAAACCGAGCCAGCTGCTCCCAGTCCTGCAGATGAGGTTGGAGGAAACACAGTCCAGGTCCCCGGCCCCTTCACAAGCGAATTTATGAGGTGCTGGTCACTTGGAGTCAAAGATTAGGGGCTCCCGCCAGGCTTGGCCGGAAACATTCAGGGTCAGCGGCCAGAAGAGACTTAGGACCCTCTTGAAAGAAGCAGACAGGGCGGAGAGGGAACAGACCAGACGGGGGTCGAGGGAAGAGGCCGCGAGTGGAGGAACAGAAGACAGACCCAAAGACAGAGAAGCAGAGGAAGCGATGGAGTGGCCCGTAAGGGCGCAGGGGAAACGAGAAACAGAGAAAGGAGGAGAAAGAAAACCCGGGGGCGGGGAGTGGTGCTGAGGGAGGTGCTGAGAGCAGAAGATTGGGGGTCCCTGGGCGTCCCCGCTTCTGTACCTGCGTGTTGGGGGCGGGGCCGGGGGGTCTGTACCTGTGTCTGGCTGGCTGGCGGTGGGAGTGTGAGCAGGGCAGTGCAGGGGGCGGACGACGCCAGACCGCGGACTGCGGGACAGGCAGACCTCCTGGCCCCTGGCCGGGGACCCCCGCCCGCCGCGCCGGCCCGCGCGGGTTAACGCGCCGCCCCCGCCGCGCCGGCTCCTCCCCGCGGGGCCGTGTCCCGGCTCCGCCAACGCCCTCGCTGGACCTGGCGGCCGGCCCCCGGGCGGACGGCGAGTCCCTGACGGCGGGACGGACCCCGCGTCCCCGGATGCGCGCGGAGCATCCCCCGCGCCCGCCGCGCCGCCGCCGGGTCGCCGCCCGGCCGTCTGGCCTCCCGGGGAACCCCTGTGGGCGCCGCCTGGGTGCCGGGACCCCCGCGCGCCCCCGCACCAGGCTGCCCAGATGCGGGCGCCACTGTGCCTGCTGCTGCTCGTCGCCCACGCCGTGGACATGCTGCCCTTGAACCGAAGGAAGAAGCAAGGTACGAGGGGCAGCCGGGCAGGGGGCTGGGCGGGCGCAGCGGGACAGAAAGGGGGATGGCCCTTGGGGCATCTGCCTGGTGCCCAGAGCCGGGGCCACTGACTCTTCCAGAGAGCTGTCGGTCCCACTCCACAGATGGGGACACTGAGGCCCCAGGGCACCCAGTGAGCGAGCTAGACCCAGGAGGCTCTCCAAGGAGGAAGGGGGCTGGCAGGGCTTTCTCACCGATGCCACTCCCTATGGTAGCAGCGTTGCTGGGAGGAAGGAGGGTGGCTCTGTGCAAAGACAGGAAGCCCAGGTGCCAGCCTGGAGGGCACAGGGACTAGGGGACAGAGTTAGTGGCTTAGAAGCCATCCCAAGCATCCATGCTGAGCCAGGAGGTGACAAGGAGCCATGGACTGGGAGTCCAGATGCCCCAATCTTGTTACCAACCCGGACTCACCAGGTCGCCTCCGAGAAGTCACTGATCCTTGCAGTCCCCCTTGGGTGAGCTCCGTGAATTCTCGGAGACCTGAGACCTGAGTTCAAGTCCATTTATTCTGACCTGGAAGAAGTCCAGCCCCTCCAAGAGCCTCAGTTTCTCCATCTTGACCTCGTCTGGCCACTAGGAAGATGAACCAAGGTTCAGACCTTAAATGTACCTGGGGCATGAAGCCAGGGGTCCCTTGCACCCTCACCTCAGGGTCCTATGCCACTGCCCCTCACTGCGAGAGTCAGAACATCCCCAGGAGGTGGGTTTGAGGCTGTTCCTGCAGAGCCGGCGGTGGCAGAGCTGGTGGGGCTAAGGAGGGCAAGCTGGTGAGTGAGTCTCCTGCCTGAGCCCGGCAGCCCTTCAGCCTCTGGGTGCCAGTCTGAGAATCAACAGTCAAACGCCCGCCCCTGCACCAAAGATTTTCCGTGCACTGTCTCATGGAATCCTGCTACATCCTCATGACCTAGGGGTCATCCCATTTCTAAAGCCGGGTGTCCAGGCTCAGACGGGTGAAGTAACTTCGCTAAGTTGTCCAGCAGGTGAATGGAAGACCCAGGGTCCTCTTTCCTTCTGGCTCTAGTGTTAGGTCTGAGCAGAGTTACATAGGAAAGAGGACGAGAGTCTGCCTCTGGGGGCTTCTAGTCTATTTGCGTGAAAAGCCCTGCATGGACATGGTCCCTTCTGCAGTGGAGCAGAAGCGGAGGGGGCTATGGGAGAACTGGGAGGTGGGGCTGGGTGGGACAGGGAGACTGTAGCCAGAAGGGCTCCAACGCTGGGGGGGCTGCGCAGAGGGACCCAGGAAGTGGAGAAGTGGGTGGGCTTCAGGGAGCTGGGGGAGTTTGGACTTCCTAGGGACACTTCTCTGTGAATGGCCCTGGCTTAGAGGTTAAGTGCTTGGGCTCTGGAGTCAGCCTGCCTGGGTTCAAATCCCCCTTCCCCAGTTATCAGCTGAGTGACCTTGGGGAAGTCACTCTGCCTCTCTGAGCCTCGGTTTACCCATCTGAGGGTCTTTTAGAAGATCTCTAAGGTCTTTCTCAGCTCTAAGAGAGACCAAAAGAATAAAAACTTTCTCCTCATTGACTCCGCTTTAAAATAGGAATAATAATCTTAAGTATGCAACTCACAGGGCAGATGTGGGGGAGACTGAATGCGTTAGGGCGTATGTTAATGAGTTGCCAAGTACACAGGCTCCTGGTGGGCACTTGCCTTAGTCATTCTCATTTCCCGTCCATCGTGTCCTTTGGCCGCTCGTAGCAGCCTCACAGAGGGAGGGGGAGATGCTTATTTTCTGGATGAGGAAACTGTGCTTCAGAAAGGGAAACTGATTTGTCCAAGGTTGCACAGCAGGTAAGTCACAAAGCAGGCTCGACTCCCAAACCATCTGGCAGGACGCTGAGAAGATGTCCCCTGAGCTTCTCAGAGCCTCAGTTTCCCCATCTGAAGAGGAGCTGGTTTAGAAGATCTTTAAGATGCTTCTTTGTTCTAAAAAGACACACACGTGCGCAAAGAACAAAGAAAAGGAAAAATTTCAGCCCCTGCCCATCCCCAGCTCCCCGGCAGCTCCCCCACTGCTCAGTGCGGAGTTAGGCAGGCTGGTCCCGACACTGCGCAGGTTTGGTGCTCGATCTCCTGCATCTGGGACACGCGCACGCCCAGCCCAGCATCTTCAGAGAGAGGCTCTTGGCTCCTTTTATCTGTCAGGTGCAACAGAGACAGCCTTGGATCTCAGTCCCACCGTGGACCCTTGGTACTGTGTGACCTTGGGCTCGTGGACTCCACCCCCGCTCCAGCCCACAGCCTCGGTTTCTCCATTGGCACTGGAGTGGGGGTGAGGGGTAGAAAAGCCCCTTCCTGTAGCATGTTGTGCAAGGTCGTTAGAGGAGTCCTGACCAAATAAGTTTGGGAAATGCTGAGTTTAACAGATTTCTTGACTGCAGGACTTATCAGAGCCTTCATGGTAAAGAGGCTGGGGATAGAGAATAGGACTTTTCCCAAACTGCTTACACATCAGAGACCATTTTTCATAAGACAGCTGCTTGGAAAATCCCACACAAGATCCTTGAGGATCTTACCAGCTTTGATGTTGTGGTCTAACTCTGGCGGGAGAATGTGTCCTCAAGGTACCTGGGTATTAGCCGTGCTTCCTTCTTCCCTCCCTCCCTTCCTTCCTTCCTCCTTCCTTTCTTTCCTTTCACTTGTTCATTCAACAAGTGTCACAGGGCAGCCACTGTGCCATGCTCTGTGTTGGGGACTGTGGGGTGCCCAGGGGAACAGCCCTGGGGCCCACCCTGGAGGAGCTGCCCGTGTGGAGTGAGCCCTCCCCTGCCTTCCCCACCTGCCCACCATGCCCCGCCCCACAGGCAGAGCCCAGCCACTGCCTGGGCTGCGCTGTCTCACCCTCAGGGCCCGGCTCCCGCAGACCTGCGCATCCTCAGGCTCTGGCGTCACTGTTTTTTGATGAAACCCAATTTTTCTGTGTCTAAGACGAGAAAGAATGAAAGACAAGACTTGAGAAAGGTTCTTGGATCTCAAGTGTCTCTTACAAAAGAACATTTTAATTAATTAAGTACAAATGAATCAGAAGCAGATGGGGACGTTTCTCTTGAAACATGCTGAGGTGTCGTGGCAGTGGGACAGTCAGGCGGAGTGAGGGGTCTTCTCCCCGGCTGATCTGGAGCCCCATTGTGGCGATGAGGAGAAGACAGGCCGTGGCTGACGTGCGAGGCCTCCTGGGGAGGGGGCTCGGTGCAGGAGAGAGAGCCCCACATTCGTGTGGTGCCTGTAGATCCTTCTAGACCTGAGGCAGCACGGGGCAGAGGGCGGAGGTCTGGAATTCACGTAGCCCCAGTTCACATCCTGAGCCCTCTCCTGGCCTAGATGGGTGACCTGGGCAGGCCACGTGCCTTCTCCAGTCCACGGTCCACATCTGTGGAATGGGAACAGGTGCGCTGGCCTCTTTGGTGGCCAGGAAGACCCACCACAGTCCCAGAGGGAAGGTGCCCAAGGCATACAGTAGGTGCTGCATGAGAATTCAGCCCCTTCCCCTCCCATTTTACAGCAGAGCGGGACGCTCCCTGGACTCGGGGGACGAGAGTCTCCCATGGGTTGGCTCTCAACTCTGCCCTTCCCTCCTCTCTGAACTGCTTTTTCTTTAGCTGTCAAAGGACTGTGGCAGCGCCCGCTCCAGTGGCCTGTTGTGTGGCGTGAATAGCATAATTCTCTGTAAACTGCAGAGCCGGCCGTGGATGGCCAGGCAGGCGGGACTGTCCCCGTGCACAGACAGCGAAGCTGAGACCTGGCAGGCAGGTGCCCAGAGGTGCAGGCGGTGGCAGAGACGGGGGAGGATTTGGGTTTCTTGTCTGCAGGTAGGGGCCGTGGCTGGGCACAGAACCAGGTGTGTCCCCCTAAACTCTGGCACCCAGGTGAAGCCAGGTGAAGCTGCATGTCAGGGCAGTTCTGGAAGGGAAAACGGCCTCGGAAAGGGCAGAGCGAGGGCTGATGATGCCCGTGGAGGGCTCAGGGAGTGGCCCCATGCCTCGGTAGGATGCTGCCTTGGGCAAGTGCTTCTGCCCCTCTGGGCGTGGGTTTCTGCATAAAGTGGGGGCTGGTTGAGAGAAGGGAAGCAGAATAGGTGGCACACGGTGGGTGCTCAGTAAACCAAGCTCTGCCCGCCCACCCTCTCCCTCTGCAGCCAGTTCTGGAGGCAAGCTTGGGCTCAAAGGGGATGCTGTTGTCACCGCACACGTCCCCCACCCCTGGGAGGAGCCCACCTCCCTCTCCCGTGGATGGAAACTTCCCAGCCCCCATCCAGCCACCAAAGGAGACCCATGAGGCCCCTTCGAGAGGGTCTGCTGTGTGCCGGAGCTCTGCGTATGGGTTGTGACTCCTCATTGTAACACTGCCTGGTGTTACACCCGTTTCCCACACGAAGGAAATGAGGCTCCGAAAGGAAAGCCCCACTTGCCTGGGAACCCCCAACAGCTGAGCTGGGCTGGGGACCCAGAGTTCTGGAGGCTTCAGAGACCGGGCACAGAAAAAGAAATGAATCCTGTGAGTGACTTGCCGAGGGCTTCAAGGTGGAGGCCTCTGAGAAGAGCTTCATCAGAGGGGTGGGGTTTTGTCAGGCCCAGGTGGAGCAGAGCAGGAGAGGAGAGGAGCGGAGGGGAGGGGCTGGCCAGGTGGGAGGGGTCCGAGGAGCTGTGTGGCCAGAGGAAGCGGTGGTCCAATTGCCAACAGGACCAGAGCCCAGATGAAGGGCCCCAGATGCCGCCTGCCTATCACCATCGTCACGAAGCAGCGTTTATGGAGCCCGTCCTCTGGACCAGGCCCTGGACTAGGTGTTGACAAGGACAGCAGAGATGTGCTCACCATCCCTGCCGTCGGGGGGCCCAGGGTTTCCTTGACATGCCAGGCACGGAGCCACCAGGAAGATTGCCGTGGACAGGACCCCGCTGCTCCCTGGCACAGCCTTGAGAGACAGGTCGGAGGTGCTCCTAGTTGTGGCTGAGGACTCTGAGACTCAAAGAGGG